TTATCAGACAAAATGCTACATTTGATAATCGAAGTTGTAGTGTACATGATTGGAATTCTTCCTTAAATGTGTACATATAAGGTGTTGAACTGAGTCACCATAACAGCTATATGATAGGATATATCGGAAACACAGAAGTACAATGCCAGGTGGTTCTGTGATGGCAAAAGTGTCAATTGATATTTCTATCATACGTCCATCAATGTAAATTTGCAGGTAACCTTACATGCAGAAGCAGAATTCATGTTACCAGTACAGCATCCAGAGCTCCATACGGGGGGCCATTCTTTCTTTATCACCATTTTCACGAGCGTCCAAAGATCACATTTTCTCTGGAACACCCCACCCCTTCTGCATTGTGCAAACTATGAAAGAAAGAAAGAATGATTAAGTATCATTTTGGGTGTTTTTTAAAAACATTTTATGCAGCCTAATAAAGCCTGGCCTACGGTTTGTACGCTCTTAAGTTGAAAAAATGGACAACCCCTCACACTTGTGAAGGTATAGACATAAATGTAGCGGTAAGTATGGAATATGCTCTAAATTTTATAAGACTACAATATAAGTCTGAACATGTAAACGTATTGCTGCAGAACGTTTTTAGTTAATTGCCATGAGATGACATGTCTAAAATATATTTTGATTGGTTAAATATTTCAAAAGGAAGAGCTGATTGCTAAGAGATATTTTCAGAGATGTAATCAGTATTGTTTGGAAGTCAAAAGTAGGAGCCGTTGTGTTAGCATTCGATGGTGGTTTATTCAACTGTTCACTTTTAACAACACAATGCTGAATTCTAAATGGATTTACAATAACATTAAAACGTGGAAGACAAAAATAAGACCAAAGACAAACTGTCATTACAAAAGGGTTTGTAAATGTCAGTCAAACAGTTTCAAACACCCGTGCTACAATGTGAAATTCAGAAATATAACGAATTACGATATGGGGCTTTGCTTTGGCTGTGAACCGATCACACAGCATAATTTATGGCCACAAAGTTTTATTTGCATGCTAATCTGCAGTATCGTTTTCACTGTGCAACTTACAGTAGATTAAAAGGAGGTAGTGTTCATATGTGCCATTTCATGGCTTGTACATGTATATAAAACACTCATTTTCATGGAGATATTCCTATTGATTTAAATGCAATTAGAGGAAATTAGCATTTGATCTTTCTATTTTAAATATACATGTAATAATAAAATTTCTATTTATTCCTTTAATTGGTGAACCAGTACACACAACCGTGCAGTTCACCTCAGTACGTGAATTTGAAATTCTTTAATCTCCATTAACAATGGAAGTGGTTACAATAAAACTTTGTATAGCACATCACTTGATGTTAGCTGCAAGATCCTTCACGGGAACTTAATGAAAAGTTGTGCTGTACTTCTTAATTGCTTTCGCCAAGACGTTCAGATGAACAATGTCTCGCATATTCACGAAGCATGTGCATATATATAAATGTTTACGTTGTTGTTAGCGTAACATACTGTTCTTTGACAGAAAAAAAGGGCACTATACGGTAAATTTGATAATTTACTCTCCAGAATCATTCCAACTGAAGAAATGTCTACAATTTTATATTCTACTTATCCGTAATGGCAATGAGCAGGTGCATAAAACGGCCGTATAGTCATGCACAGTGTTGTTCGGCTTTTTTCTTCAAATTTACAAGCGGTCAGCATTTTCCCTTGAAACATTAAGTTACCTATTGTGTTTTGAGGCGCAATTTTTCCCCGTTTCCGTTTAGGATTAAGCCGTCTTTTTGACTAGGTAAGAATCCTGATAGTGTTTGTACACGATGTCAGTCATTCCTGCAGCCTGCATCTAGTGAATACCCCAGTGTGGAGTTTGTTCCAGTAAAAGGAGAAGTCTGTATTATAGACAAGTTTAAAATCAATGACGTGAAATGCACGTTTTAATATAATTATTACATGTACAAAATGTATGGATTAATTAAAGGCATGGATTCCCATTGTTCATGATAGCTTCAAACCTCCTGTGTGTCAGTTAGCAGCCACCGTTATTTGCATTGCCGGATGCAATTAAATTGTTGTTATGTACGCGTAACTGAGCACCTTGTGTTAATTTGGGGAGATTAACAACTTCGTTACAAATATGTGGATGAAATAAACCTGTATATTATACATTTCAACCGTAACGATTTGAATTTTTGTACCGGCCGCTTCGTTTGTTAGATTAGTCTAGAAGAGAGGAAACGTCCATTTCAAAATCAGATTTCGCTGATTTTGCTCAGACTCTCTACGTTGGGGTCCTGATCTAATGCATTCATGTCATTCTATAAATTAGGGGTCCAATTTATGTCATGTAACTGTCAAATCTGACATAAAAAGTTCAGAACACATTTCCAAGAGTGATGAATGAATGCAAATTACTTGCCAAACAAATTGAAATAGTTTGAAATCAATCTAAGTGATAATTTCATCCCAAATTGCATGTCAAATTGCACTCTGGTCAAGTGTAACAGGGACACGAAAATGTCACACTTTGGGACCCTGGATTTAAAACTGCAGGAGGTTAATTTTTACGTCACTTCGGCGCGCGACTATGAGCCTGGAGCTGGACCAAGAGAGGGCGCAAGTTCATTGGCGACGAAGGCGCCTTTGGTTCGAGCTGCACTTAGTTGGTTCATGAACAACTATGAAAAACACGCCTTACAGTCACGGTACTATACGTCCGTGCTTAGGCTGCATCCGAATCTCTTGTCTAGAGCTAGGTCTAGGTCTTCGCTCCATTAGAAATGCGAGGAGACGCGTAGACAATAGACCTAGCCGTTGCTCTGGAAGCCTGTTTCGGACACGGCCTTACAGTCACATCACTATCAACAAAATGAACACTCCCAACTCAGATGGCTCTTTTCAACCGATGAGGGGTGCTTCTGTTCGAGGCAGATGGTAGAACTCAACTCTGAACACAATACCAGCGGTTGAAAAATAAAGTTTCAATCAGATCCAACACTAGGGAGCGGTTTTTTTAGGATTTTTTTTACTGCACTCGTTCGATACTTACTCGACCTCCCGAGGATGGACAAAATATAAGGTCTACAATTTTTCGTTTTTCCATCTGTGAAATCTCGGGGTGCCTCACGTGGCCCTGCACACCTCAAATCCACGTCCGAACTCTGTGCGTAGCGCCACCAGCGATCATAGCTTGCAAGACGCATGCAAATTCACCATTTGAGATAAGTTTTATGAAGGGCAATTTCTTTTACACGCACAATATCTTATTTTACACCAATTTGAGTGATTTACTGTGTTTGCACTGTTAGATGGCCAGATTACTATTTTTTTAAGTAGCTCTGGTGGCTGAGGGTTGCATTGAGGTATAATCATGCATCACTTAGCAGCGTCGGTTTCCCAGGTTGACAACATAGTATCGATTTGTGAATGTTACTGATGCGTCTTGTTTGCCTTTCAGAAAATGCGGGCGAATCGTTTTTAGCGATGATGCCGAGCTTGCTAAGGTTCAAATTGCAAGGAAGATATTTAAGTGGTACCTCTTCTGTACCATCCCCACATTTTTACTGAATGTTTAATTTTTTAAGAGAAATTACCCCATGCAGAACTGTACAGATATAACTTCCTTAAAGTGGTGTGTTTTTAATGAGTTTTTTGTTGATGTGGCAAAATGTGTGTTTGTGACATGTGATGTGTGTTTTGTGGCAAAATTCCCGCCAATCTTTGGCATGAAAATCGTGGAATGAAGGGGGTTTGGAATGGGGATTAACTCTCCCTCATCCCAGAAGGATAAACTGACTTCGGAGGGGTCGCTTTTTCGACTTACTGTTTAATATGGTTGAACGTTTCGGTATCCAAAAATTACACATAATTCAGTTTTCCCTGAATTCAAAACTTCACCCGCTGGGCCTTGTGCCAAGTCTGGATGTGACCCTAGCCCTCTGCTACTCTGTACCCAGTACCAACCTCAGCAAAGAAACATGGATATCATTTTGATCCCGACATACCTTGTTCTTAAATTACAAGAAAAATGATGAACGCTTTTTCTTTGACCTGCCGGGATCGATCGAATGGAACGTGATTGCCGACTCCCAGGAAAAATAGCTACTTCAGAGCTTTGGGAATTGTCACGTGACAAAGGTACCAGTCACACGTTGACATGAACTGTACTTGGGCGGATGTCAAGGATAAAGGGCCACATCGAATTATCGCAGACTGAATCTTCAAAGTGTTGTTTCCCTTTATGTTTGGTTGCCACAAAACGTTTCTGGTTGTTACTCTCCATTATGGTTGCATGCAAGAAGGACATGGAATTGTGGGAAAATCGGTGCCGGATACACCAAGAGTGAAGTTATAAGCACGCCATTTTGAATACGCTGGTCGAGAATCCTACGCAAGGACTCGAGGAAGAGTCAGCTCGTTGTGTGGCTAAAATTAAGAGCCCAGATTATCACGATAGCATGATAAAAAAAAAAGAGACTTAATAACCAACCCACATAGATGCAAATCCTGTTGGGAGTTGTAAGGGGCCTTCAGATTTGGTGGAATTACGAGGGTATTATCGCTATGCTTTAAAAAATGTGCTTGTGTAGCTTTTGAAAGTATCTAGGTTATCAGGTATTAAAGTAACACATTTTTCAAGCTCAAAGCTTTTCAAACCTTCCCACAAAAGGTTTTAGCAACAAGCAGTGGTGTATCCAGGAAGTTTTTCGGGGGGGGCAGCCCTCTAAGAATTTTGCAAACAGGCAGACACAAAGTAAAGCATTACACTGTGATGTACATGTCCAAATAATAACCCTTACATGATATAATTTGTTATTAATATATTGTTACAATTTTTAGTTCATTTTTTTTTATTCTAGTGTGCGTGTTAGAGCAGCGGGTTTAACCCCCGACCCATCACGTCTGGATCCGCACCTGACATGACCTCCTGACGAGCCCTTCAGTTGATTTTATCTATATCCCAAATGCTTCGTCCGCGCGACGACTAGCCCTCTGTCGGACGATCATGTTCCTTTAATCCCTACCCCCAGGGTCAAGTAGAGCCACGCCATTTAGCCGGCTAGTATTTTGTGCCCAAATATTGTCACCCACTTTGGTGCTTTGAACTCCTGTAAACAGTCAATAACTCCAACCCCGTGTTTATATTGAGGGGCACGTTGTTTCCCTCTCTTCTACCTGCAAGTTCTTGGCATCACATGTTCCCCCAGCGGGCTCAAGGGTGTCGCTGTTTGACTTGGAACAATAAGAGACCCGTTGAGTGCTGTAAAAGTTGAGATCGGTTTGATAGCGGTGGGCGTGTACCAGCCGATGCCGGGCCGACTCCTCTTGGTGCAACACTTTGAAGGGTTTACTCTTAGATACCGTCAAGTGAATTAACGGACCAGATCAGAGGGGTATATTGCGTGTGCTTTGCTGCGTCAATAGACATTCTTGGCTGAGACGAATAACCATGGAGTTACGCTGCTGTGTCCTGCTTGTCTTACTTTCATCAGCTATCTCATTTTGTAAGTAGTGTCGGTCTTTTCATCATGAAGAAGGAAGACATTTGAACAAGCAGTTCTGATTAATCTGAAAGTGGCAATCTGAGATCTCTGTCCACGCCTGAAGGGCTGTAACTAAAATGGACGGGTCGCCTTAAAAAGTTTGAATTTTGTTGAATAGTTGAATTTTGTGACCGTGGTTGCTTGTTTTTTTCGAGAAGACTTTTATTCAACCCACAAAGAGGTTTCTACAATTATCGAAGTGTGGAGAAAATAGTGTTTCTTTTTTGGCATCCCTCTTACGGCCACAGTGTCACACCCGCCATTCTTTTTTTCCACCGACAAAACTGGTTTTGATCATCTCAAAAATTAAAAGTTCAAGTGGCACGGTTTAACAATGGGAAGAACTGTGCTTTTCATGAACTGGCACCTGTTGGTATCTGGAGAGGCAACCTTTTGGTCCGTAATATAAATCAATATGACGTTTCTGGGTAAACTCTTCTGGCTGAGAACACGACCCTTACTGCAACTTGACTGATTTAGTGCCGGTTCGCAGTCAGATATTTGAAGTGATTTGGCCATGTAGCGTTCAATTGCACGTTTCTCCATGGCAACAATCTCACTAAGGCTTCACTTCAACTTCCAGAAAAATCATATCAAACATGTTATACTCACTGGTTTCCTTTCTAACGAACTGAAGTGACGCCCAGTCATCCACCGAGTCAGTAACTTCTATAACTTCTAATCGACTAAGTATTATTTCTCAGAATTTTATCTTTTTATCTCCTTCAAAGATGTATTGACGGGGCGATCAAGGAATTTTTCCGGGGGGCCTTCAGGTCTTTTTTTTTTGGGGGGGGAGGGTTTGTTGCTGAAAGGCAGGCACATTGGTAATGCATTACATTGTTAAGCTGTAATACATTGCATTGCACCAAATTCATTATAACCATTATTTCAGGATGTCTTCATTATTACCGTAACTGTTATTTCATTCATTTTGTTCCTTTCTTCGTGTCAGAGTGGGGGGCGGGGTGACCTCCAACCCCACCCCTCCCCGGATCCGCGACTGAGTGGAGATTGGACTTTGAGAAAAGTTCAGAAAAAAAGTAAACTCCGAACAGTTCTGGAGTAAAGCTTACAGATTTTGAATACATCGTTTGGTATCATTGGTATTTTGGTATCATTGGTATTCAAATAGATTTTAGTGTGCAAACTGCTCGAACTCTTCAAACCCCTAGAAAAGGTGAGCGAAAATAAGCCACTTCAATCCAAATATATCGGAAACAACAAGCATGTTACATGATCTCATTAACCAAGGAGTAGATGATGTGTTTTTTAATCCCTTCTACAATTCTACTAGCATTGACATTTCTAACTTGACATTTACAGGCAATGTCTCTAATTTAAAAAAAATAATATTATTTCACCTTGTCTAATAATATCTTTCAGACGAAAAACATCAGCTTTTTTCAGGACGGAACTTTGAAGAAGAGAATTGTCCGTAGTGACTGTATAATTATTCCATAATGGAACAAAACAGTAGAAACATTCATTTCTATATCCCCTCCGGCTAGGCGGAAAAGCCGAAATAAGTTCGTTGTAGAAAGGAGTTATTTTGGATCAAACGTGTGAATTACACAAAACATACCAGCCTAAATTAATGTCACCACCGGCTTTGTTTATTCAATAATCAAAAAGGACTGTCCACATCCCCTTCGAAGAAGGGTAGCGCACTAACCACTGAAGTTTTACGCTTCTTAATCTAAAAGGGATGTCCATAAGGCCTATGCCCCCTAAATTTCTGGGACCAATAATAGTTTGGAGTTTGGAACCACTTCCTCTGCAGTAGACTTTCACAATGTCCTGAATGACTGTAAACTCAGAATTGTTGCCAATGAACACATTAGTATCATCTGCATGTAGTGGATGCGACGAATACTGAGGTTTTCATCGGGAATACATATGCCGCCCAAGTCACAATTAGTTCTTATTAGAGAAGCCAAACCTTCGGAACAAATAGAACACGGTAATGGGGATAAAGGACATCCCTTTCTGATACCTCTAGTAACCTCTATCGCAGAACCTATGAAATTGTTAATGATAATTCTACAATTCAGATTGCCTCTTTTACAAGGTGATATGTAATTCGCAGGGTGGTGCATGTGTTTCTCCATATAAGTTGCGGCCGCAAGATGATTAAGTTGCGGCGGTCACCTCCTAGGTCCCAAAACGTGTCCAGTAGTAAAGAACACGTCATGGCAATTTACCGATACTCTTTTCTGTCCATTCAAGGCAAGGGAACTCTGATCATTAACTGTGATTTTGAGAATGAGGCCGACCCAATGTGTGGCTTCTACAATGTCTACACTGACGATGCAGACTTCAAGAGGTCGAGTGGTGCCAGCTCTGGACCCATGGATTCCTCCCCAGGATTCGATCACACCTACGGAAACGACACGGGTAAGAACAGACCCATTCATGGAGCCCCGCCCCCACTTCATTTTGTTCTGACCAATCGAGAAGTGATTTCCGTCCAGCGCCAATGGAGGGGAGTTTTCGCACTCATTTCATTAACAGCCCTACATGTACTGTACATAGGTCCAAAATTGCTTGCGCGGTTTGTGGAATGTGGACTGACTGCCAGCTTGTATTCTGAAAGTATTGGACCATGAGTGTTTGGGCATCAATTCTCTAAATGGCGATGGGCCACAAGTCTGTTTTGAGCTAGGGGTGGTTTTCTCTGGAGACAAATAGGAATATATCTTCAAAAGTCATTAGTAAAGCCACTGACAAAAGTGACAGTATGAAGTGACGACGGACTGAGCACGCACTCCGAAACTACCTCTGGTTCTTTTCAGAACCACACATACTCATAAGAGATATTTCCTTCGCATGGTGCTACCGCAAACCTTTCCGCTTAAAGCCACTGAAACTTGAAAGAAAAATAAAGGGGAAAAATGTTCCATCCAGACTTCAGCAGTTGTGTACAAAGTCTATGGAGAGTGAAGAGAATTTGTGAAGTATTTCCCAACAACATCGGTAAATGTTTCTCAGTCCAGAAATTGTGTCCTTCCAGCATTTCTGTAATGACCGACTTTTATTGAGATGATATATGATGAGAAAAGTGGAGTCAGGATGCAACATTTTAACCAAATAAAAGATGGGGAAGTGAGCTTTAAGTTCATATGTGTCTTGAACACCTGAGAAACTTGTATTTTTCTTGATTTTTTGAAGTGGGGATATTTATCACTGTTGTCTATGGGAGCTTTTTTGCACCCACATAATGGTGCAATAAACAATCGAATACGATCAGATAATCTATTTGGCTATGGAATGATTTACCTTCGGCTTGACTTGCCGTCTGCGGTTAAGTGCAGCTAGCTCACGGCCAGGAACATTTGTTTCAGCCCATTCTGAAGCAACCTGCAGTCGCCAGTAGCCATGGCTTTTCACTTCCCATGAAGTTTTTGACCAGACCTTGCTGCACTAGAGCGAAAGTAACTTCAGGTCTGTTTGTATGTTTCCTAAACATTTCAGGTCATTTTCTTGACACCGACATAACAACCTTCGGCTTAGATACCCCCGTGGCCAGCGTCATTAGCCCTTCTGTGCTCATCCAATCCGGCACAACTAAACTGTGCCTCGAATACTACATCCACATGTTCGGCACGGCACTGGAATCTCTGCACGTGTACAAGAAGGTCAGTGGAGTGGAGACATCGATTTATAACGACACTGGAACTTTGGGTGATGTCTGGCACCATCGGCAGGTTGAGATTGATGTCAGTAGCTCTTCGGGCAGCTCCAGTATTCAGGTAATGACACCTTAAGACACAATCATAGTGGTTTTTGGTTGAACAAAGCTGTCTGTTCTGTGGTGTATGCAATGCATAATGATAAGTGAGTTATAATTACTAGGCCAAGTGACTCCAGGGGAAAATTATGCCCAGCTAACGTTGACGTTTGGCCTTCTTCTTTCTAGTTTAAAATGAATAGTTTTAAAATTACAGCCTTTGGAAGAATTCCATACACGGAAATAGCTTGACACCCTTTGCCATGTGGACAAACATTGATAATAGATTGGTCCATAAAGTATTTCTTTAAGTAAGTGATCACAATCAGTAGTCCCTGCTACATGTCAGGTTGACTCTTCAACTTAAAGACATGTTATCCATTTCTGACAGCTTGATAAAATACTGGTAGGTAAAAACAGTGATTGAACTCTTGCCACCGTGTTTACATCATTTATATGCCAGGAAGTTTTAGAAAATCTTGTTGATTAAAATTTTAAAAAGGTACAAGCATAAATGGGCCGTAGAGATTGTTGTCATCCTAGCAGTTTAACAAAGACAAAATAATAGGCCCACTTCCAGGATTTACTACAATTCCAAATACGTATATCTTAGACAAAAGAGTAAATGAAAGAACTCACTGAAAGAAAGGAACAATTTTATTCAGACTTGGGGCAAATAAGGACAAAGGAAAAGGCTACGTGATGGGGTCCCTAACTAGGTGCACTTTGACTTTTGCTTAGAGGTAGTGCCTTGCCAGAGCAATGTTTTACCTGAATTTGACATTTCATCAAACTCCCAATATTCTAGCAGTTTCAGAAGCCTCAGTTTTTAAGTACTCATCTGCTACAGAGTTCTGATGAAATATTATTTTAGCTTTTCCTGATTTTCTTCTGAAGTGCAAGATGAACTTGTAAAAGGCACCTACATGTACAAATGTGAAAATAATTTTCTCACAAACTTAAGAGTGGAGGTAATTTAATGATTTACTAGAATTTATTAAAGTGACAAATCTTATATGTCTGTTTGGGATTTTCTGAGATTTTTTCAAGTGCACCATGTTAGGTAACACTCAGCTGAATTCTTGTCCAATATCTGGGTGCCGCTATTCTTGAATTTTATTGGAATTTTCAACAGCATGTATTGTGCAGGTTACATGTATAGCACCAGTATATACCGAAATGAATTTGAATTTTTTTTCAACAAGAGGTTTGGCAACACTGTATGAGGAAAGTCAAGTGAAAAATCGAAGTGCCCCACATTACGAGATTCTAATATGTGGAACATGTAACCAGTAGGGGTCGCAAAGGGGTTGACGAGGTGAACAAACAGGGGCACTGATACGGGTGACCTTGTCCCTGAGGCATGTAATGCTTTTCACAGGCTTTTCTGTTGTCAGAATAGAAGGAAAAGCAGATGGCCATGTCTTATCCTTCCTACCAATTCAAAGGAGCAGTTGTTCATCGCTACCTTTATGTACTTCTTGTGCCTTGCCTGCCTCCTCAAGTTGTTCCTTGTTTCTCTCCTTTGTTAATTTTGCAGCGTATTTTTACTTTCTGTTTGTTTCAAACATTTTTTAACTTCGGATGAAAGTTTGAAAACAGTGTTAGCCTAGTTTTGACACCAGCGTATCTGCAACGGTCATAACCTACCATCTAGGGACAAATCAATCTTTTAAAAAAAGCAAAAGGGGCTGCCTTGTCCTTTTCTTAAAATACTCTGACAAACTTGGGGTTTTTTGGAAGTCAACCTGAGAGTAAGCTACTTTTTAAAAGTTGAATTTTATTCTTTTTGGGGGGAGGATAAGAGGTAGTTGCCACAAGACCATAAAGGAAGTGTTTGTGAAACATCAAGAATTTCTGATTTTTTTCCTTTGGAATCTATCAGGTGATCTTCCAAGCTAACATCAGTTGGGGTGTGCGTGGCGATATAGCCTTGGATGACATAAAGCTGTCTCTTGCTCAGTGCAATTTTGGTAAGTCATTTGTCATTGGTCAGCAATCAGTCCAAAAGTGTGATCAAGTCCCTCATTCAAAAAGTAAATTTCCCCCCTCAGTAACTTGGTAATGAGAGGTAGAAATGGTGGCAAAATTTGTAATTCAAGAAATGAAAATGGATTTTGAAAAGTGTTAACATGTAAAATTTGATCTACATTGCATTATTTATGTTAAAAAATATTTCCTGGCTAGATGCTAATACATATTTTTTAATTGAGTTTAATACAAATTATTGTGTATTTCATCAAGACATCCTGAGCCTAGGTCTTCTAATGTTTGCCAAAAATGCTGTATTGATATACATGTAGCCATAGTCTCACTGACTTTGTATCAGAGGATATACTTTACAGGTCTTAAGCAAAGAAAAGTTCTTAAATTTCCATGTTTTGATTGGTAATTGAAATTTGTAATATTATGTACAGTATGCCTTTAGACATAAGCCCCAGAAGAATCACCTGCCCTACCAATATGTACAAGTACATACGTTGTACCGTACCTTTTCATTTGTCAACTGTCAATTAACCGCTTTGTTTCCCTGTTCCATGCCCCTTCTCACTCCCCCCCCCCGGCTTCAAAAATTAGACACTCAGCCATGTCATAATTGTGCTTCCATAGCTACAGCTATGACCATTGTCCACATTTTTGCAAACAGTAAAGAGCTAGACACAAATTTTCATCCGTCAGACTTACATTGTACATCTGATACTAATTATGCTTTATTGCTGTAGGTCTCGAAGAAACAACACAGGCCCCCCCGCCAACAACTCCTGTCATCCCCCTGGACTCCTATGATTGTACCTTTGACGATCTTAACCAACGTCAGTGTACGCCGAAACCTAACAGTCGTAACGACTTCGATTGGGTGTTCAGGCAAGCTTTTAACACACCCAACCAAGGACCCATATATGATCACACAACGTCTACATCTTCAGGTGGGTATCTAAAACCTTGACAGTTAATTGCCATGGCTTGATCTCGGCCTCTGGAACCTGCTTTAGATGCTCTTATCAAATGATAAAGTCTGTAGCTGATAAAAATACATACAGTAGGTTATTATACTAAACCTGCATTTCCAAGAGCAACTTCTTGAGCTTGGGAAGCAGGAGCAAAGAGACTATTGGATTGGAGGAACGGTATCCAGTATCTAAGGATTCTGCAAAAGGACTTTGCCATATTTGGTCCCAACGTCACAAGTGCGATTTTTATTATTACTTACATTTGTAAGATCCGTTTGTAGAAATATTGAACAGTTCTTATCACACATGTTTTGATATGCTTAAACAAGGGAGAGGGTTATGGGTGGTGCTAGCCCCACCTCCCAAGAAAAAAGTAAACAAATACGAAAGGAAAACTGAGATGGAGGATTAAATTGCCGATTTTCTTGGAAAATACCCTCAAGAGTGTTCTGCCCCCCCCAAAAAAAGTGCTCCTCCACACTCCCCTGGAATAAATGCTGGTGACTTCCATGGCTTAGAATAATCTATTTGAATTTTTATAGTGAAAGTGAGTGCTACACTGTTTTTAAAACATTTGAATGTGATATTTAACAAGAAAGCCTTTTTTTGTACTCTGATCTTTGCTGTTCATTTTCTTGGCAGGGATATACCTTTACGTCCCTCAAGACTCTAATCAAGGCAATGACCAGGAATACGGCGAGTTTCGCACAGCTTTACTGCAACCAGCGTTCCAAGTGAAATGTTTACAGTTTTTCTATTACATGAGAGGAAACCGAGTTGGTAACCTCAATGGCTATGTTGTGCGGGATGGCGACGCTGCACCAATCCACATACCGTTTAACAAGACCGGGGATCAGGGAGGTTACTGGCACCGAGGATTACTGGATATCTACCCAACTTATGCCAATTACCGGGTTAGTCCTGACATTGCTTGGAAGTCACATTAGCTCCGTGGGGTTTTTTCCCTTTCCATCTCTGTTACAGGTACTTGTGGTTTGAATCCCTCCTGGGCTAACACGTGGATTGGATTTTCGGTCCCTATGTATAACTGTATGACTAATTCTTTGAATTATTCCAGAAATATACAAGCACAGCAGGTTTTGTCTATCTCCTTATATGACGATGGGTTATGCCTACTTGCAACAGGAACATGCCATAAAATGGCTGGGGGTGTTTGTAAAAAATATAAAACAACTGTTCAACTGAGTCATTGAAAATTTATAGTTTTGGCTTTTTTGCATTTTGCGAAAAAGGCATTCATTTGGTTAAGATTTTTTTTTTCTTCTTCTTTTTCTTCACCTGTCTTGCCTGGTTGTTCTTCTCTGATAATCCTGTTTCTTTTGTACACATTTTTCTCAGGGGAACTTTAGTCCCTTTACAAGGTTTGATCTTCATCAAAGTTGCCTCAAGCAAAGACCCTATAGCAAAGATGTGCCCAAAGCATGACATCACTATGATGTCATCACCTCATATTTTATGGAATTTTGAACATTTAAGTTTTCCCCATAGGTTTGGTATGCATTTTTCAACAGGCAGACTTCGGCACTTTTATCAATCTAACTGACTTTATATTTGGTGCACACTCTCAGTCCACCAGCTAGAGAGGGTTCTTGAAAATTGTGACCATGATGTCATCATGTGTCACGTGACAGGGCATTCTAATGTGCAAACTTCAAAGCCCATTATTTCCTGAAGTTAATAATCTCCTAAAATACATGTCCTGCTTGGTTGGAACTTTGCAGATATCTAGAAGGGGATGTGTGACAGACAAAAATTGACCTCATGGGATGATGACATCATACGAAAATTGACCTCATGGGATGATGACATCATCAGCTGACAACTCACATGACACTGAAGACCCATCCTTTAAAGCCCTTTATTTCCTGAAGTCCATGTCCCATCGCATTGAAATGTTGCAGATATGTAGAAGGGGATGTTTGATAGATGAACATTGACCTCGTGGGATGATGATGACATCACACTTGGTTGACATTTCACGTGACATTAAAGTGCCCCCTTTATGTCACTATACCTCTTGAAGCACATGTTCTATTGGGTTGAAATTTTGCCATTATGCAAACATGGCTAGGAAATGTTTATTTAAAAGTTTACAAATGCAAAAAAGCCCTTTGTTCTGTTGCAAACAGAAATAGAACATCTAGTTTTAACTTGTTTTGACTTTTTCAACATTTCCTGACACAATAGTGTTTATGAATGGGAATACATTTGTGCTTGGCCAATCCAAAAATTTGTTTAATTAATTGTTGTTGTAATTTAATCTTCAGATTGCATTTGAGGCAAGTCGAAGTCGAGATTATGATGGCTGTATTGCTGTTGATGATCTTTTGCTCATGGATGGCAGATGTCCAATGGGTAAGACACAAACAGACTAACTAAGCAAAAGCTTGGGCCGAAGCACAAGGTATAGCAACAGTGTCTTTAGTATGGAAATTTCAAATTGTTATGTTCACGTACATTGAAAGAAATTGAATTGAATTGCAATCTTTTATCTTTCAACACTCTGAGGCATGCCCATGGAGCAATATTTGTCTCAAAACGAGGCCATGCATAGTAGCCAACTTTAGTGTCAATACGCGGTCGGCCTCCCCCAGACTTCACTGACAAATGGGAAACGAGGGTGTTTAAATATCAGCTGGAGGTGAGGTAAGGTGTGTTAGATGTGAGCTGCGCCTGTGTGCTTATACAACCAGACCATATTTACACATCGTCTGTTGTAAAGTGGTTGATGTACAGAGTACATAGAGTTATTGCATTCATTCGTAAGTGGCCCAGTGCATGTTCCCCCACTGGGTTTGAACTTTGACATTTCCCATTCTTAAAAGTTTGCGACACTTCTTTGCTACTACTTCCTTTGTTTTAGAGAACAATTTCCAAGTGGTGAATGTATTATTCACATTTTTTGTCTTCAGACTCACATATCACCGAAAATGGTCTGTTTTCTGTGTGGAGATTTGTTTATGATTTATAATGTTCATGACATAGCCAAGTTTCATGATCTACCGAATTTCATGTCTTGATGCTGTTCTGTCAAAGAGGGTAGCGAGGAATGTTTTGCAAGTCCAGGTTAAGTCACAAGTCATTGTTTGCGAGTTCATTTCAAGTCTCAAGTCATTACTGATTTGGTTCAGTCACAAAGCCAGTCACATGTCCCTTTGTCCAAGTACAAGTCACATTGCACATTTTTTTAGCCCAGTCACACATCAGCAGGGCAGACAAGACTCAAAGTCAAAGGTTGAAACGGCGCGCCAAGCAAAGTCTGATGTTTCTGCACACAAGGCGCAAGTTGATGGGCCTAATTTAAAATTCTATGATGTCACTCAAGTAGCTTCTGGGCCATTCTATATATTCCAAATCCAAAAGTGGGACATTTTTGTGTCCCTGTTACACCTGACCTGTGTCACTTGACATGTAAATATCATTGAAATTAATTTAAACTATTTCTATTTGTTTGGCAGGTAATTTACATTATTTATTACTCTTGGAAATTGGAGAAAGTGTTCTGAACTAACAAATCATATGTCAGATGTGAGAAGGACTCGAAAAAAATTGGACGCCTAATTTACAGAACTTGACCCTTCTGACTTGTGACACATACTCAGAGTGACTGTAGGCGTTCCTTTGAGAGTAAATTTTATAAAAGTTCTACTCTGTTGTTTCTTTGGCAGAGGAGGTCTTTTGTGACTTCGAGTCCCTCCACATCTGTTATTTCACCCAAGATCGTACGGATGACATGGATTGGACCGTAGGCAATGGAAACACACCAAGCTATCAAACAGGGCCATCTTATGACCACACCTATGGAAATAGCTCAGGTAGCTTTTTTGCCAAGGATTACACGCTTTGAATGCTGTTCTTTAGTAAATGAGAACAGAAGTTACACAGAGTGACTAATAAAAATATTTGAAATATTTCTGGAATTGGACAATCAATCAATCAAACAATGAACCCGTCATGAAAAAGAAGGATACAAAAACTATGTAACACTTCACTGTTATTTCCTTTAAGTACTATAATGTAGATGTTCTCTTACAAGTAATGTGTCGTAAACCGAATCCGAATGGTATTTGGCCCATCCATACCCTCTAATAGCAATGGCAGTTTAGCAAAGGTTAAAGCATTAACTGTGACTCAATCATTACTGATCAATTTCTGTTGATAATGCTCATTTATTTTTCACCAATTAAACGTTACCAAAGTGGATGCCACTCGACACCTCAAAGTATTGTAGCTGGTGTAACTGCCAGCCAGAAACACACCTGTTTAACGATAAACATTAGGGGTTGTTACTGAAAATCTGCCGGTTGTTTCCACACTGCAGGTAATTACATGTATATAGAGACCTCATCCCCGGTCAGATTGGGTCACGTTGCACGGCTGATCTCCCCGCCCGTCACCGAGACTCACGGCCGTGCCCACTGCCTGATCTTCTGGTACCACATGTACGGCCAACACATTGACGCCTTGAATGTGCTGCAGGCCAACGCATCCACTCCCACTCAGCGGAAACTCATCTGGACGCTGTCCGGCAACCGGGGCGACAAGTGGCGGGCAGCCGAAGTGCATGTCCAGAGCAGCCTGGATTTCCTAGTGAGCAAAGACACATGCCAGTTCATGTGCATTAATTTAAGCCTGGTTTCCATATGGTCATTTGTAACGCAGATGGTCCGCAAATGTGAGGACACAGACATGGACTGAAAAGACAGTACATGACGTCATTCCACCCCAAACACGAATGCGTCCAAAACTCCGTGATTTATTGCAGAAAATACCCTTTTAGATTGATTGTACCGCTTCATGATGCCAAATCTGTACTCCGGTTTCATGCATTTCATTGATGGTCTGCTATGGTATTTTGATCATAAGGGTGTGATATCTAAGCCTGAAGGAGAAATGGGCAAAATTCGTGGAACTGAGCAAGAGGGACATCGTTGCAGGCTGGTCATGCCAGCTTGCGTGTTTGTATGGGGATACCACGGCTGCGCAATGTAAACAGTCGGTAAAATTGAACCTGGCTCAACTTTGCCAATTGTGTGCAGGTTGCATGGTTTGCGTTTATCTGCATTGTCAGCGGCACCTCTGGTTGGCATGGTTCCATGTGTCTGCATTGCAGTTTCCATCTTGATTGCATTGCTTTCTGCATTTCTCACGTCGATATGGAAACCAAGCTTTACTCTCGATATAGACAGTTACCCTTCTTGTGTCTACATGTAACTCCTCAAAGAATTATTCGTACCGTTAAAGTAATTCTTCTTCTTCACACCGATTGTAGCATTTCTTATGAATGAAAAGAAGCACTAAACCAGTGTACACAGTATCTGGTAATGCTTAACCTCCCTGTCCAGACTATGGAATGTTTCTATTCCCCAGTAAAGCTCGTATCAGGTGGAAAAGCAGTGATTGGATTGGCTGGCTGTCACAGTGGCGATGAAGTAATTCCTCTTTACACCATTGTGGCATTTCTCATGAAGGAAAGTAAATGATTAAAAAACTAAACCAGCGTGGTTAGCAGTATCTGGTAATAACTGTCCAGACTATGGAATGTTTCTATTCCATAGTAAAGCTCATATCAGGTGGAAAAGAAGTGGTTTGATTGGATGGCTATCACACTGGAGATGATGCAATAAAATGTAACACCTGGTCTGATGCATGCTTCCCTCACTACATGCCTATTTTTTAAGTTGAACTCTTACGCAGTCTTGTCATTTTAAGTAGTGCTTAACTGTTCATGTTTATTGAGTTAAGTTGAAAAGTTTTGCTTACTTGAAATCTGTTTTACCATCACAGCGTGATTCAGCTAACATTGTTCATGCCAGAAGATATGACTGTTGCATTACTGTTGTCAGCTGTATTCTAACCCTAACCCTGCCAGATGAAGCACAAATGTACCTATTTTACATACAAAGTGTGGACATTACTTTGTTCTCCTGTGGTTATAAGGAAACTTGACCCCAAAATGCCTCTGAAACTGTTTTTCAGAGAGGGGGAAACATCGCACCCGTGCCATCGCACCCATGGACTTCTTTTGTGCAGAGGTCCACACTATGTATGCCACACCTGTACATGTGCAACAGGTGTGATATTGTCTAGTGTACGTCGTCGTTGCCGTGGGCAATCAGCAGCAGCTGAAGAGCTGGCTTTATTGAACCAGTGGGAGCTAGTTCCATTAAATAATGCCACTGTTCGATCTTATGGTGACTGGCAACCACAGACTCTCAGGCTGTTTGGCCTTAGGGAGAGTTGACCTGTTGGATCTTGTTACACTGGGCAGGCAAGCCACTTTGACAAATGATGCAGACTGATGTATGTGGCAGGGTTTCTAGCCAAAGTACCCAGGTTAGGGCTACACAAGTATTTGATAAGTGTAAAGAAGGCAGAACTCTATAAGCTTGGCAGCAGAAGGAATTAAGGTTGACCTTAATGGAAGAACAAATTTGGCATATTGATATCAGCTCGTTGGTGTCAGGCCAAAAGAAACATTTAAAACAACACTTGTCGTTATGACAACTGCAACAATATCATGCATATTTATAAGACATATTTTTTTACGCTGGGGAGATGTTAATTGAATATTGAGTGTTTTTGTCCTTCATCACCAACATATACTTTTAAATACTGTATACTCTGTATTGTTTGAAGGCTTCTGAAAAAAGTTGCTTTTTATGAATGTGGTTAAATTACGCAGTACCTGCTATTTGACTTTAACCTCTGCAATCTTGATGGTCAAGGATAAGACATGCACTTGTAAGCACAAGGTCATGGATTCGAATCCTAACTGAGTAAGCAAGAGAATGCGTTCACAAGCCTTGCACAATTAAACACTGTATAGAGTGTCATTTATGAAGGACAAAAACACTCAGTTTAAAATATAAAACGTATAATGTTCAGCTTACAGCGAAATACCTAACACACACTAAGGGTGTAACTCGTAATCTTTAAATGTTCCATTTTGGCCAGATCATATTTGAGGCATTCCGAGGCACCAGTTACCAAGGTGACATTGCCATTGATGATGTTCATATCACGTCCACCGAAGGCTGTCCGGGAGAAGGTTAGCTTGGATCATTCAAGTCTTTCCCACTCTGCACCCAATAATTGTCATTTCTTAACATAAACATTAAACATAACTGCAGGCTGTAGGTAGCATATGTAACTGTATGTTGTTTACAGACATTATAAATTGAATTTTAATGTCCTATCGTACTTGACTGAAGTACATACTGCATTGTTGGAAGTTGGCAGGGGAAGCAAAAATCCAAGTTTTTTCAGTTTTGAAAAAAAAAGTACAGTGTATTTTCAGTGTGAGAGTTTTTTTTTTCCTTTCTCCCAAATGTATTGTAGCTGGATTGAAGAACTACTCCAGTATCACATGCGACTTTGAAGAAATTGAGATCTGCTATTACAAGCAAGATTCATCAGATGATTTTGACTGGACATGGCAAAATGGAGCAAGCCAGGGACTTACAAGTACAGGGCCGGGAGAAGACCATACGACCAACAGCCCACTCGGTGAGAAACTAGTTAACGTTAAGTGGAAAACAGTAATATCTTCGTAACTTCTGAACTTTTTTACATTCTTAGAAGTTTTTCAAAACTTTTGAAAAAAAAATCGTGGCAAAAACGCCTGCAGAGTTGGATTCTCTTAACATATCAGACAAGAAAACACAGATATGCTTGCTATCTTTTCCTCAGTGAAAAAATATTAATAATTTGAACCATTTTTAATTTTGAATTTTAATTCAAGAAGCTAGACACACATTTTTCACCAGTGGCCAAAAATGCCATTTAGCATTCCATAGAACTTTGACCTTTTTGCTTTTTCCAGTATTAAGTTTTAACTCTTTGTCAACTCGCACAATTTGAATCATTTGAACAGTTGCGTTAATATATTCCCAATGAAAGTTACTCCATTAGATAATGCCGTCCCACATTGATTGTATAAGAAATGTCAGGATGAACAAAGAAGCCCACTTAACGACATCGTAAAAACACCTTTTATTGGGTCATCTGGCACTTTATTTCTCCATTTATCTTCTGGAGATAATCTTATCTCCTTCTGCATTCTACTGTGTAAGGTGGATGCTAGCTGGTGTTGAAGCTGTTGTTTGAAAACGAAAGATCAATATTGAATTATTTGGTTGCCCGGAAATCAGAGGACAGGTGGTGCATGTACTTTTCATCCTACTACTTTTGCCAAAAACTTCTTCTGCGGCAACATGTCTGTTTGCATTTCCAACCATGGTGGTAACCGAATTGCATAGCATGCTAACTCTTATAGGTTACCAGGTCTGTCAGATTGCAATATGGACTGAATTTATTGGAACTTTAAAATATGTGTATAAATCACCCAGGCTGCCCCGGAAAGTTGTAATCTAGTCAGATAATCAAACGTTACAAGAAGTGATTCACATAACTGTTCACAGATAAGTTTCTTTTGTAGAGATAAGGATTTGGTAGTTCAGCGGCATATCACACTGGCCTGTGCATGCAAACTCCAAATTTAGTGAGAGTGAAAGCTGCTGTGGACGAATTTTAAATGCTCTGTAAGGTTCGGCATGAAAAGAAATGCATTGTATTTCTGAAACCAATTTTCGGCAAAGCAAGGTGTTGGTTGACGGTTTGCTCCCATTTATGTGACCTGGAGGCTTTTCATTCAAAACATTTTGCAAAAATCTTTTTCAAATCTTTGTTATTTGAGAATTACTACATGTAAGTAATGTTAACCAGGCCTGAATCGTATTATTTTTGGCGAAATTGTCGACTTCAAAAGCAAGATATATAGCAGCTACTGGTAACTTCTGGCATTGTTTAGACCTTTTTCCTGTGATGTCATGATCGTGCTGGACCTATGATGTGTTGTGATGGTAATGATGCATAGTGTTGTGATGGTAATCTGTCTATTCAAGATAAATCAGTCAAGGATGCAGTGTCCGCACTTGCGCTTGCTCGTGGTTCAAGCTGCCCTTGGGAATATATGTGATCACCGTGGCCAAGGCAGTCCACATGTGGTGGCATTCTTTACATTTTCACGTGGCTGAAAAAGGTCTGCAGCCAAATGTTGCACATTTTCGCCCACAAGAGTCATTTGAACAGTAATGTTTTGCAATATTTCTTACTGACATGTCATACCAGTCAACATCCTGGAATTTGCCCACAGAGCCATTCAGTGCAAGCATGTCTGCATGTGTTACTACAATGAACGTGTTTGCACAGTGGCCAAGCTAAACTTGTGGTCTACCTTATCTCTGTTATAGAGTTCTTGGTCTTTGTGTGTGTACAAAACAAATAGAGGATCGGTAAATTTAAATGTCATCCAAGAGTCAGTTGAGGTTTTGCAGGACGTTTTATCCCGTCATGTACATGTATGCAGCCGTGCCTGTGTGGACAGCTTTGTCATGTTTATAGGTCCTCCTATGCAAAGTGCATGTACGCGTAGGTCATCATGGGGGCCAATAGTCCCGTTATTTGTGGCCCAATCTGTGAAAATGAGACACGAGTCACAGAACAATTTCGAGTTGAAGGCCTTTAAAAGAATCTTGCACAGTGGAAACCAATAAGAGCCCTCAAGCAATGGCTGTTCTCGACAGGATATCAAACTGAATGTCACAACATCAAAGAAAAGTTCATCAGTTGGCCACAAACTGAAACTCAAAAAGGGCTTTGCTGACTTCTGACATATATTCATTGAGTTGGCCACACATTCAGCATTCCCCTTCCCCCGAAATAATTGGCCCATAAACGGCCTTCATACCAGCCAATGCAAATAGATTTTGCAGTACTTTATTCTTGGTTCCCTCCCCAGGGTTTTACATGTACATCCAGGAGGACTACAACGATATCCCAGGGGGAACAGCTCGGTTGATGTCCCCGGAAGCCAAGGTACAACCTGTCCCGTCCTGCTTGGAGTTCTGGTATCACATGTTTGGTCGGGATATCGAGTCGCTGCAGGTCTACATGAAGAAGAGCAGCGACACAGAGCTTCCTGATGACCCTGTGTGGAGCATGACTGGGAATAAGGGAGACTATTGGCACAGAGCCACGATTGATGTCCCCGTGACACCATACACTTTCAGCGTAGGTTTACACTTCTCATTTCCGAATGATATCTGAAAGCAACTCCATGTTGCTGCAGTGAGCCAGTTCAGTATTGCAACAGCGCGTGCCCAAAATGATGTGCGTAAGAGGTGCATGCAAGGTTTGCCTTATCAGCGTGGCCCTACACTGACTCGCTTGGTTGTCTCTGTTTTGTTTTTTACCCCTCTCCAGTGCAATCCACTACATTCCATTCCACCCCACTTCACTCCACTTGACTCCACATACTCCACCACCACTCCATTCCACTCCACTCTGCTCCACGTACTCCACTCCGATTTACTTCAGTCCATTCCATTCAGATCCACTCCAATCAACTGCATTAGATATGCTCCACATACTCTGCTCCACTCCACTCCTCTCTGCTTCACTCCGTTCCACTCCAATCCACTGCATTCCACCCCACTCTTCTCCACTCTGCTCCACTCCACTCCGATCCACTCCAATCCACTCCGATCCACTATATTCCACTCCACGTACTCTACTCTGCTCCACTCCACTCCGATCCACTCCATTCCACTACTCCGATCCACTCCATTCCACTCCATCCACTCCATTCCATTCCACTCCGATCCACTCCATTCCACTCCACTCCGATCCACTCCATTCCACTCCACTTTGATCCACTCCATTCCACTCCACTCTGATCCATTCCACTCCACTCCGATCCACTCCACTCCGATCCACTATCTTCCACTCCACATACTCTACTCTGCTCCACTCCACTCCACTAACCATGTGACCACAGAAAGTGGTATGTCATCAGAAAACACCAGTGAAATCAGACCCAACATGTCATGCCAAACACAATCGGCGAAAAGGCGAGATTTGCTGCAAGATGATACACATAAAATTTAAGCATCTGATTTTATTTATTGGTGGAAAGAAACCTTTCGGTAACAAAATAGTACATGTACATGTAGTGTCTCAATGTCTCGCCAGACTACACGAGAACAAATTAAAAGTGGGAAAATAATCACAACAATGTCACCACACCAGAGCAAGTTAAGTTTGTTGTAATTATGTACACATTTCATGAGCTCAATGACTTCATGACTCAGGGATTTCTGTTTAATAACTCAAATCCACGCCACAGCTGGGCGCAGCTCACCGTGGTGAGCACGTGCTCGCGATCGTGCTGCATGGATGGCTGAATGCATGTCTGCACTTTGTGTGATCGCTACACTGGTGTCCAAGAGGACGGCCAATCGTGGCGGCCTTATGATTCATTTCCATATACGTTGATTTTTCAAAGAATCTGACTTTGAAATGTAAAGAGCGCTGTAACCGGAATCATTTCACGTACTTTCTATGGTTCTCAAGCCAAAATCCGTGAGTATTATATCCCAAAAAGTGTTGTAAACGGGAGCGCTATAACCACAGAAAAAACGTGAATGGGTGTGCATTTGGAGAAATAAATATAGAGCATTATAGGTATTAAAGAGCATTACATCAGGGAACGCTGTAATGGAAATCTACTGTATACAACACATGAAGGTTAAAAGTGGAAATAAGCCAGTAAAAGTGTGCCTGTTTCTTTTCCATATCTTGTCTACAGTTCATCTTTGAAGCAACCCGAGGCCAGACATTCCGAGATAATATAGCGATAGATGATGTCACATTCTATGAGGGGGATGACTGCCCACCATGTATGTATCTCAAGGAAATGTAGCATTGTCCTCATGTACCAGGGATTGTATTTAACATTCAACAGTTGTCAAATGTTGTAATTATGAGATTTGCCCTTACACCGACATTGATATTGATTAACAGTGTACATTGTATTCTCAGTGCTGTCCAAGATCTTGTGATAAAAACTTCACAAGATTACTCGGGTGGGACCCAAACCCATGACCTCCTGCTTACCAGTGCAGATGTCTTAACCACGATGTCGACCACCAAGCTTGCCGGGGTCAGCTGGCTGGTCCAAGTCAGATGTGCATGGCAGCGGATACCGCAATTCCTCTCATTATGTTGAGGATGAATGGTTTCCTGGAGCAGTATGAACGATTTCACATATATTGTGGGCATGAATTTATGCATGGCTGAATATAAACAACACAAGGTCTAACCCACAACCTTGAGACAACGCATCCTTTGCAATCCAGCAATGTAGTTTTGACATGCAGCCTCAATCCTTCAAAATCCTCCCCAACCCCCGGATGATTTTGAAAGATCGAGAATGGTTAGGGTTAATAAACTCAGTGCTAAAATCAACATCTCTCTGACACAAAGAACATTTTGAAATAGTTGTAGAATGCATTGAAACATGACTATTTCAAAACCGAGGGGCGCAAAATACCCCCATTACTTGTGATTCGCCAGCGGATAAACGGCACATATCTAGAACAGTCACAGCTGTATCAATAAAGCTGTCCAGAAAACAAATCTGCTTTCACAGAAGAATTTGCTGTGATGAAAAAAAAAGAATTTAGAAACCAGCAGGCACCTCTATTTTCTCAAACTTTAGACAACTTTGGTTTTTGTTTGACCTTACAAAGTTTTAGTTTGACCTCACAAAGTTTTACTCATTGACCAAAGGTTTTCCATCGTTATTGCCTCTAACATTCAAGTGAATCATTCCCCCATTTCAGTCACCACCAGTGCACCAATCCCGACGACCACGCCGATACCCATTGCATCCAGTTTGGCAAACTGCGATTTTGAAGATGTGAACAACACAATGTGTGGCTACACACAGTCAATCCATGATGAATTAGATTGGTCACATGGGAGTGGATGGCCAGTTGGAGCTGACAACACTCTGGGAACTGCTGACGGTACGCCAAAACATTTTCCCCATAAAAATCACCCATTTTCTTGAAATGTTAGAACCAGGAATATGCCTTGGTAAGCATGTTTCTACAGAACACAGTGTTGTCACAGGACTTGCATGTAACACTGTGGTTATGTAAAGATTTTACACTGATGAAATTTAACCCATTTTTTTCTTCAAAATAAAATTTGACGCGAATCTCAAGCAAAAGAAGTTACATTGCTGATTGATGAGGGTAAGAGGTCAGTTACAAACTCCGTTCTTCGGTGCTTTTAGAATAACCCCCAGTTTTGCCCGTCCCTGCCCAATTCAACCAGAATCCGACTGCAGACAAGGTTACATTTTCCAGCCAGTTTGCGGCTTAGGTTTGTGCTGAACCATGGGTTTATAATTATTTGCTCATGATTGGAATTGGCACCCACTCCAGCCAGTTAGCTGGGTAGAATTTGAACCCAGGCCACTTGAATCTGAAGGTGAGGAAAGTAACCACTGCACCAACCTGACTCCTTTTGTTTGTCTTTCAATCTTTATTTTGGTATTTGTCCAATCATAGGTCATTACCTGTACATCAACACTCATTCCTATTACCAGCGGAGTGGTGACAGGGCTGACCTTTACTCGCCCCTTCTCATGAGCTCGGACATACCCCAGTGCCTGGAGTTTTACTACTACCTGAGCGGTTATCGATCAGACTTTCTCATGGTCTACCTGACTGGCTGGGGTCAAACCCTGGCTATTGATCCTCTCTTCTCTGTATTCGGGGACCAGGGAGACAAGTGGAACATGGCTCAAGTGGAGATACCGCCTATGAACTCAAACTTCCAGGTACCACAATCAAAGACAGACCTGATGTGACCTGACTTGAGGTCTGAAGCTATTGAAACAGTGTTGGCAGTGTGCAGTTTTCAAAGTGGGAGATCCAGTCATGACTCACTGGGCATCAGTCATAAAAAGACTGATCCATTTTAAGCCCTGCCCATTGTATTTTGGTGTAAAGGGGGGGGAGCCAAGCCCTCAGTCAAGACAGAGGGTCCCCTGGTGTTCCTCCACTGCTGACAATAGGTTGTGTGTAGTCACTTACTGCACACTAAAGAACACAGCAGCATATATTTCAGGAACCTAGCAATTAGAATTAACTTTCCTTATGCAATATTTTGCAAACAAGTTAAGGTAAGATACGGGGGTAGGTTGAGGATCACTCTGCCCCTCCCCGCCCAGCTCTGACACACACAAAATAATAAATTGAGTGAAATAAGAATGTTAGTAATAATGAAAAAAGTGGTATCCTGTGAGCGTTGTTATTTGTACATCAGCAACAATGTAATGCATTACCTGTGGACCTAAAAAAAAATTGCAGGGGCCTGACCCCTCCTTGAAAAAAATCGTGGGTCAGCCCCTGATGAAGTTTTGTCACATTCCACAAATGTTTCACATTGCATTGAAATCTGTTCTTCAATTTATGAACTCGTAGTTGGTGTGGATTGCAGCAAACAAGCCATAAGTGGACAATGTTATGATTTAGGGATTTGCAGTTTTGACTGGAAGGAGGATTTGATGAAACTTTTTAATTACGATTTGTTACGTTTTGTAAGAGCTGCTTGTTGATCTGCACAGTGATGTCATGAAGCTCAGATTTCATGTCACAATTGTATATGAATATTGACACCCAGGAATTAACCGTAACTTTTTTCAAGAAGCGGGAATACATTTGACTGAAGGCTTGTCCATTGAAATGGTCGAACAAAATGTTTTTATTTTCCTAACAGATTGTTTTTGAGGGAATGTACAGCTATTACGCTGATGTCGCCATTGATGATATTAATATCACCATGGGGGCTTGTCCAAAGAGTAAGTTGGCATACATGTAGTTCAGCAAATATCCATCTACCAGTTCGTATTTCAAACAAGTACAGAAGGAGCGTAACGTCGACATTCCAAGTTTGTGATTGGTCTATCCAAGCCCACTTACAATTAGCTGAAACAAAGATACAACAGTAGCGGATGACAGATTGACCAAATATGTCAAAATAAGTCTTGATTGATGTGAAAACAGATGAATTAAAGGAACATCAAAAAGATGCTTGAATTTATTGAATATTAAATGAAGTATAGCCGATATCACGAAAATTGGGGTAACTTTAACCCATGCGTAAGCCTTGTGCTGCAAATTTATGTCATAGCTACGCAATATACTTACATTTGATTTCATGCGCCACGGTTAAATAATATTAGATTTCTTGGACAAGGACAAAAACGGCCTTTACGACAGCTGTTCTTTTCCAATATAACAGCATTCACCAAACAGTGGTTGAATCACCTTCCCCCACCTTTTTGTAAAGGTTTTCGTCTTTTTTTCGTCAGAACTGGACAGAAAATCTTACAGTTTTCTCACAACTAGCCAAAAAGGTTTTTCATTACCTTCTGCAAAAGTTTCTCCTGTAAGCCTTGTCGATGTGACTTAACCCAACACAATAAACTAGTCAAATCATTCATCTTGCTTCATTTTTAGGCCACTTAAAATTACTGTATGAGTTACTTCATAATTCATTGCATAAGTTTTGTGAAATTGCTCGTAAGTTGTTGTGGAATTCATACAATAAACTGTGGCATACGTAGAGCTGCGCCATTGCGTAAAGTTTCGGGAAATTGGCTGCAGGCATACAACTTTATTGAAGTCACATTTTGCAAAGTAAGTCAATACTGTGCATTTAAAGTTCATCAAATTTATGCCAGGAGGTGCGTTGTTCAATTTTTTTTTTTGCTGAAATGTGTTATCAATTTCCATGTGCTTTATATGTTGAGGCTTAATCAAAATGGGGTTTTGTGTGGTTATATCAACAGCTACGGCTCAACCAAATCTGGTGGATGGAAGTTGCGACTTTGAATCAGGCTTGAAGGCTTGCAACTATGTACATATGAGATACTATGACTTCTATTGGCAGGAACACAGTGGTGCTACGGCGTCAAAGAACACTGGTCCAAGAGTAGATCATACCACTGGAACTGAGGAAGGTATTAAAGAACAATTGGAAATAGAACTCCAGTCAGTTTCAATGACAGGGTGTCTTAAGCGAATGCAAATCTTCTTAATGGCTACTTTGCCTTAATGGCTACTCTGCCTTAGAAAATAAATAGAAATTGGAAAGACTTTCTTTGTAAGACTTTTTCTTCTTTTGGGCAATAATATTCTTCCCGACAAAAGGTAAATGAAATTTTATGGTCAAGGGAAATGAAATAAACCGCCTGGGTCACGAATTAAATAAGATATTGGCAACGTCACTGTAACTCACCTATTAGCTGTATACTAGAGCCAAACCTGGTTCACTACAACAAAGCAACTAATACTGTTGCAAAGACAAGAAGCTAAGGATTATCAAGAATGTCTATACATGTCAAGCAACCTTGCCAGCTAGCTAGTAACGCAGGAAGGAGAGAGGGGTGCCTTGCAGCCAAACACAGTTATGAATGCCAGTCTATTTAAAGAGAACTAGGGACACGTAAACTCGATAGGTTTGCGGTAGCTTCATGGATATTTCTCTTTTGAGTATGTGGGGTTTGGAAAAGAACTGTTGGTACTCAACATTTCGGACAGTATGCTCTCTGTCCATTGCTCTGTCTCAAACAAGAGATATATCCATAGTGCTATGGCAAACCTTAGTCTAGTTTACTTGCTACCTCCACCATGAAAAGCTTCAAATCTCAAATAGGGACACTGTTAATTGCTCCTATTACGTAAGCTGTTAAAGAAAATAAAACAGGTATGAGCTATTGTATGTCCACTACAGCTCTTGTGCAGATTTCTAATCTAAGATGCTTATGTAGGAACAAATATCAGTGCTGTGTACTCTTTTCTCCATTATGACTATGCACGATAACATAAATGATATGCTATAAGTTTGTTGTCGAAAGCATTGCTAGCTGTATGGAAAGTTCCTTGTTCCTAGCTGAAATAAAGCACTTTTGATCATTACGATAAAAAGTTTGTCGTATATATATGTTAAATAATTTTTAGTATGAAATTATTATTTTAAGGAAGTCTGCATTTTGGCAAAGTTTTCAATCCAATTTGGTCTCTTCTCATCTGGTGTAGGAAAGTACATGTACATTGAAGCTTCGCTCCCCCAACGCCCCGCCGATCGAGCTCGTATCATTACTCCCGTGATGTACCACACAGCAGGCGTGGCAAAATGCATGTTGTTTTACTACCATATGAATGGAGCCAACGTGGGCAAGATCAACATCTATTCATACATCGAATCACGAGAGATACTGCTGATGTCACTGGTGGGTAGCTCCAAGGATAGGTGGCGTCCTGCTGGTGTGGACTTGACCAACATGGCCCAACGATTTCAGGTAAGGATCCATTTTTGTGAGGGCCCACTTCAAATTAGGCATTTGTGCAGGATGACATGTAAACATACACAGATCTCCTGTGGCAACATTAAGGATGTTTTATACATTCTGGCAAATTCTGTGTGCAGCACCGGGCAGTGAAAACTTTGCCTGTAATAATATAAGGAGGGGGCAGAATTCTGACAACGAAGTTGCTGTATATTGATCCTGCATTCACGCACCCAATGTATTTGGCAAGGTCAGTGCCATCTACGTCCGCGAGAGAATATAGTCCGACTATAACTTCGTGATCAGTGACGTATGAGATTCATTGAGGATTTGTGAACGATTTAAGTCAGAATGTGAACACAGGCAATTAAGCATCACTTTTTCATATACTTCAGTTTCATTTTATGATGTATCGCGTGAAAGACCTTCTATGGCACAGTGTTATTCGTGCACTTGCAAGGCGGCTTTCACGCAAGCGTACTGAGTAAGTTGTGGCCCACACAAATGACTCCACAACTCAAAGATTTAACGTAACTCGGGCGTTTGAGCATCGATTCGACCGATCGAAAGGGGAAAATGTGGTTTGATAACTGGAATGCTACACTAGTTTTGAGCATAGTATGAAACTGGGCACGTGCTGAGAAAACTATAGGCAAAGCCCACTCGCCACCTGGTCAAGCCAAGGTCAAGCCCCATCTGCAGTTTTGCGTCAAGCTTGTAACAAAATCCCCAGAGGGCCATAACAGTAGCTGATAAGAGATCCTCGGAATCCTGGTTTGACCTGCCAGAAAGCCCTAGTTCAGGTTGCTGAACTTGGTTTTTCTGCTTAATGAGAATTCACAGCATGTTTACAAAATATTTTTGTAGTGGTATCTTGTTAATTTAAAGACTAAGGTGTTTTCAGCCACAAACAAACCACACCTGGGGGAATGTGTCATGGGAAAAATGCCATCGACATTCTTACAATAAATAGTGGGTGATAAAATTATGTATAAGCTTAATACGATTATTTAGTTTGGTTTAAAAGGCGAGTAATTGCTTCAAGCAACTTAAAGTTTGTGATGTCATGCCAACAGATGATTGCTCTTTGACATTTAAGCTTATTTCATTCGGATTACAATAATCAGTATTGTGGTCAAACTTTCAAACCATTTTCCATAGATAAACATGTAGTGTAGAAGAGAATGGCATGCTTGAAGGTTGTGTCATGTGATCTCAACATCCAGTGTTGTACACAAATGTTCTTGGTGACAGATTGTGTTCGAAGGAGTGGTTGGTTATGGCGTAGAAGGTGACATGGCCATCGATGACATCAGCATTCGTTTGGAACCCTGCATGGGCTTTGCCAAGGAGGCATCGACCAATTTTGAAATGCCAGGCGATCTGAACGGATTTCACCAGTACTGGGAAAACGACACTTATTGGTTGTGGTTTGATCAGTATAACAAAGACTCAACACTCCCAGATGAACTGTTGGCAGGTAGGTGCTAGGACATCGGCATTAATGGAGATGGTGTCAGTCCATGTGATTGTCATGACAATCACAGTGACTTAGTACTGGCTGAGATATAATCAATGACCACAGCTACAATGATGCTGACAGTATTATGACAATAAAGAAAAAATGACAGTGACAAGGACAATGACATTAACCACTCCCTACCGGGCAACCCGTTTTCGAGTACATAGGCTTTATTTGCAGAGCCGGGAGCCCCAAACTGGGACAAAAGTGTTGGGCCTTATAACAAAAGACCGCGCTCAGCACAAAAGACTGAGCTGCTGGGCATTACCGACATTTTTTTGCTCTCAATAGTGGAGATAATCCAGCCTTGTTTTCAAACAGTATACCACGGTTTGAGGCATTTCGAGCGAGCGGATTACCACCGGGGACAAAAGAATCTTACGTAACACCGCACAATCTGGGCTCTTTTTCCAAGGTTGCAGGCCAGGCTGAAATATTCAGGAGTCAATGAATTTTACCTGTCAGCTTTAGAATAGTGCCCAAAGAGTCCTTCGTTTTGGTATAAACGGCCATTCAATGAATGATGAATTTTTGAAGAATTTTGAAAACGGAAAATCTTGAAAATGAGCCAGCATCTTGTCTTGCTCAAGAAAAAAACCACTCGGCAGCAAGTGGTTAAAGAAGATAGCAATTACGACACCCAGGTATATCATGATGTAATGAAGCCTGGCAGTAGTAATAAAATCACAAATGATTGGCAGTGCCAGAGAGCTTGGGTACCAATTACCAAAGCAAATAAAATACTCCCAGAATTAAAAATGATTCTATTTTTATGAAAAGCAAGGTATAGTGTCCTATTAGAGAGTTTGTACGACAGGAGTCAAACAGACATTGTGAGTTCTGTCTTGGTAAGGGGGCGATTACTTCTCTGGATTTTTCCAGATTCAAGATATTTGCACAAAAACCAGCAAGTTCCATAGCATTGTCACCGTTGCACTCCCTTCTGATTGGATGTTTGTGGATGTCTTCTCATTCCCAATACGTGTATCTCACCCCCTCAAACTACGTAGGTGATGGCTCCTTCATGTACATCGACGGCACTTTTTTCCAACCCAAAACCTGGGCTACCATGCTGACGCCGATCATGGCCGGTCATGCCATAGAGCACTGCCTGGACTATGACTACGCCATATACAAGGATGCCGAGCTGATGGTGTCTGTCTGGCAAAAGGGAGGTCTCACCTACGACTTGACGATTAAAAAATATGCAACGGCGTGGACCCATGAACGCATAACTCTGACCAAGGCCCAAGTTGGCGAAGACTTTATGGTGAGAAGGAAACCCTGCAGTTTAGTATACAAATAATAAATATTTATGAATACACTGGCCAGTTGGAACAGAATGCAGTCTGCCCCCGAATCAGTTTTTTTTTCCATTTTGTGAAGATGAAACATACATTATTTGTTATATGCAAAGCCTGAATACACTTGTTTTTATGATATCTTGCATATTGCTCTAAGCCTTAGACAACATACATAATTTGGTTCTTACTTTGCGAACCAAAAGCATCTTTTACGAGTTCTCAAATTGTTTCTCCTCTTAAAACATGGGATATTGTTTCACATTTATTAGTATGACTCCTGGAAGTGAGTCGAGGAATATTCATGTTCCATTGAACAGAGACTTTCAAATGTTCATAATTGGATAGTACAATGATTTTAGTGGGCATTATGGAAGACCTCCCCGTCAGAGGGCGGGAAGTAGATAAGGTGTTGTATTAAAACAAGGATTGAATTTTGGGAATTCCTTTCGAAATCATGGTGCAAAATCTAGACAAAAAAGTCCTGTCATTAACATCAGAAATTCTGATTCGAATCGCTGATAGCATTTTGCTATCTGAAAGCTGAGCTTGGTAGAGTTTTGGGGGTAAAATCTGATTTTTCTGTGTTGCACCATACCTCAGCATTTTTTCCAGATAGAGAATAGTATTTCACTCAAGAGGTATTTTGCATGAGAATTACTCCAATTTCACAGATTCCTGCTTGTCTGGATGATACTCCAGTCTTTTTTTCTATCATATTTGGTTGGCAGCTTTTCTTCACTGGTAAACTTGGTTCTGAAGGCACCGGTTACGTCGCCATAGATAATCTGGTGGTTCGGGAAAACAGCTGTAGTGAACGTAAGTTAAAAAACAAACTTTTGTGATACTCCTTACAATTTGAGTAGTTAATCATTCTTTATATAGATGAATTTTCTAGATGAAAGAAATGATACGTTGAACCAGAGACCTTTTGAATCTGAGTTTGATATCATAAAGTTATGCTTGCTGATTAAGATAAGATAAACTTAATTAAAATCCAAAACTGGAAAAGTACATTGCTGTCGTCGCACATTTAAGCAAGCAATTTCACATAAACGTAAACAAAATAAATAACTAAATTTCCAACCCAGTTTAAAAGAAGAACGCCCAAAAAATGATTAGGTGCTTGCGACAATGAATGACTGTCTCACTGATTCCAGTTTGTGCTGCTAAGCTATCATGCAAACATCCATCCAAGCAGCTGGCTTCTTGCAAGTCCAACCTCTCTTTCAGCTCAACCATCTGTCATCGCAGATCAATCTGATGGACAAAAGCCTCCCGTCAGTTTTAATGAAGCATTGTGGTTCATCCATTTCAGCATTAATCACTTAAAATCGCTGCCAAGTTTTTCACAAGTGGACTTGAATCCAGTAGAGGGACCCACTAACTTGAGGCAAGCCACTGTGGTACACCAACTTCTGAGGATGAAGATGTCTCTCGTGAGAGGCCAACCGTGCCAACTCTGTTCTCTGTAGGCTGTGCTTGTTTTCCAGAAAAACAAGGCATCAGAAAGTAATTGCAAGCCCAGCTGTGCAATCGGGGGTCAATAAGTTTATAGCCGAGTTAAAAATCGGAGGCCGTTTGTGACCCAACCTAACAACATGGGTCGGCAAAAAGTCGGCAAAGCCGCTATGAAGTTCACAGCCTCTAGAAGAATCTTGCCCAATAACCCAACAGGAACTGGCAACCTTTTTCACCCACATAATGTCCATTTTTCATCAGGTTGCCAAACTAAATAATGTGTCAAATCCTCGGCAGCAGATCAACTTTCTTAAACCAAGAGAATAAAGGAAAATCAAAGGCTGCAGGAACAAATGGCTACAAGACCTTTGCAACAACGTTGAACCAGCCATTAAAGCAGCCACATCATAGGAAGTCTTTACAACAATCAAAAAGATCACAGACTCACTAACCCGAATGTAATCACAGTTTACTAACCGTCATACAGCAAAAATCGAAATTACTTGACAATGGTTCTGGAAACCCAGCCGGTCACAGCCATGGAGTAATTCATTCTTTTGGTTTGTAGTTGCAGAGCCAGGGGAGCCCGGAGCCCAAGCCTCTTCGGGTTCCGTCGCTACCGCCACCATCCTGGGAATTCTCCTGGGTGTAGCCCTGGCAGTTATCATCATCGGTGTCCTGTACTTCGTCCGTCGTCAGAGGATGATGCCCAAGGATATTCCTGCAGTGCGGTACACCAACGAGACTGACACCAATGAAAACAAAGAGATCTCACTGGCTAAAGACCTCAGCATCGCCAACCCCAGCTATGAAAATGCAACACTCCAGAGCCATGCTTAGTGGAAAGCCTCGAAGATCAAGAAATTTGAATGTGGTACATGTAGATACCAATTCAATACATCAAGTCTTCTTGACTGCCCTGGCCTCCACCTTGGTTGTCCCGACTCTGACCTTGTTAGCTGTCAGACGGCAATTGTGAAGACTCACAGATAAATTACTCTCAAACCAATTTTCCAATCAATATCCAAATAGTATCAGTGGCGTTTGAATTATCAAATGTCCATACTGTATACATTATTTTATCAATTTTGAGTTCGTTTCAAAACCTATGAAATTGTTAACCTTCTATTGCTGCTATTCAGTATATTGATCAAAGTTCAATTTACTCAAAAATTGTGGGAGACCAATAGCAGAATGACACTGTAAAAACAGCATTTTAGTTCCCAACTTGAAGGAATTCCTATCTTGAAGGAATTCCCATCATGCATTGCGCATCGGGCATAGATTTAATGCCTGTTCAATATTGGCACAAACTGAACATTACTGCGATCTTTTGAAGATCAAATATTCAGCCTGCAGATTTGCAAGCTGAATACATTTCAAGTCACACAAATTTTGCTGCAAATGTTGAACAGCGAATTTCCTTGAGTTTTGCATTCACCTGAACATTTCAGAGTTACTTACGAGAGGAGAGTTGCCCTTCAATTTGTGTATTACTACAATACTGAATCCTGTGTTGATATTTTGAAATTTCTGCAGTGACTGTTTAATCCAAGTGTACAGATTGGAGTTTTTGTTGCTTTCAAACAAATTTTAAACATATATCAGATTTTTTATAGGACTTCTTATAGAGTATTGCACATAAAGCTATGTATCTCGTAACTGTGCCTCACCTGTATTCCTCTTGAAGCTACAGCATATACACTGTGCTTCGAATGAAGTTGTACATGTATACATGGCCATTTCATGAAACAAATTATATAGGGAAACTGACTAGGTGCTTACAAATGATGATGAAGGTCATCAAAGAAATTGAGTGGAGCAGGATTTGAACCTGCAGCCTGCGGAATATCGTACCATACCAGTGTTCAAATCCCACTCCAGTCAATTTCTTTATTTTTATCATCATCCCATTTCATTTAGACTTTGTGTTCTTTTGGGTTGTAATACTTAGCTGCTTAATCTGTAACATGAAGATATAATTGAATATCTGAATTCAGTTTTGAAATCGAGTGTAAATTGGACATGGGAAGATAAAAAAAAACTGCACAGAGAGAAGTAAGAAGACCATTCAGGCAGATTGGAATGCACGCAACATTTAATATGCTAAAGTTAAATACCACGTGTGATATGTACATGAACGCACAGTCGTCACTTTGGTGACAAAGACAACCAATTCTAAAGCTCTGAAAACTACCCTAGAGATCCAGTAAAAATGTGAAGTAGCCTCAGCTGAGGGTATGATCCAGCAATGAGTGTGGTTCTAACCATTGGTCAATACCATCCCTTTCTGGCCAAGGCAAGTTACTCTTTTTTTTGCAAACACCTTCATCGTTCCTATTGCTACTCTCCCCACATCCAGTCTCTGCCATCTTGTTCAATTATTTACCCATCACTGGTTCACTCTATACTTTGTTACGAAGAAAGCTACTGCATGATAACCAGCAGGGCAACCGTGCCCCAGGGCCTGGTTCTAAAACAGTTGCCCCGGTGGTCCAACCATCCCTCATTTCAGTGACAGGAGTGGAGTTGTTGCTTAAACTTGCCCTGAAAATAGGTCGATGGGTACCAGTTAAAACGATCCTGACCATCAAATTTAATGCCTATAACCATAACGCTTCGCCAATTTCAATGCCATTGCTAAATGATTTTCAAAGTTTGCCCATTTGTAATAGTTAATAAGAGTTAAATTCCTTTAACAAGTAGTGTTTTCCAAAGTGTGATTTTTCACTACAAGCTTGAAACGTAAGTACATATATTTCATGTTTCTATGATGTTTAAAGTTTTAGAAGTAATTTTCAAATGTGACAGCTAGTCCTCCAAATATACTTTAAGTGTCTGTGAATAAGTAACTGAAATTATATGACTGTAATTATACACAGTTGGCAAATGAAATAACATATGCAGAACTATATTGATTCAAGACGGTTTAAAACAGCTGATGTAGATAACATAACCTGGGCATGAAGAGTATACGATTACCAACACGCTTAAAAATGATGACAAAGACAAACATGCATTGGGTCTTTTTTCTTTTAAAAATCATACAATTAGTCACAAGTATCAGGTTTACGTTGAAGCAGTCCTATAGCAAAGCATTGGGGAATCAAGCATTTTAAATGCAGCTGGAAAACAATTTAGCACGTATAATCAGGTAATAAAGATTACAGAGTGGAAATAAAGCCAATGGAACCTCCAAATTAACAAGTTCTGCCGTTATGATTGACTGAAGTCATGAAGTAAATTCAATGTAAATCTAATACTGGTTCATAACAAATGCAACTCCTTAAGCTCCACGGACATATTTTTGCAATCCATTTTTTTTCCCTTCAATTTAAAAAGTCAGAATCAAAGGAGGTAATTCATGTTCGCCAAGATCTGTATTTCTGGTCACATGAAGTTTCGAGTTGGTTTCCACTTTGTTATCGGTGAGGTGTAAATATGGCGCAGAGTTCAGGACAAAACCAGATCAAACGAGAGATTACTCTGACCCTCCACATAAAGAAAGTATATACAATGAACGTCCTTGCTACACTCAGTGGCTGCCTCGGACGCTGTAGTACATCTCTAATGGTCTGGACACTCGCCAGTATTTGTCCTGGACCTGCTCCAAGGTCATTGACCCTGACAGTATCTGAGAAAAGAACAATTCAAGAAATACTTGGAAGGTGCAGGCTTGATATGGGAAGTCATTGGATTATGAGCAAATGGGGCCCAAGTAGGAATTGGGATTGAGAAAAAAAAATTTAAGAAATACATTGAAGGTACAAGCTTGATATCGGAAGTTATTGGAATATGAGCAAAATGGGGCCCAAGTAGGAATCGGGATAGTATGCAGTGAGAGCAATTTGTGCTGTGCAGAATACTAACAAAGGGATATTGTTTCACTTCATGTAATATGGATATATGCACAGCTGAGGGATAGTTGACAGTTGTCCAGTTTCTCACAAAATCATATACACGTATGAACAAGATCGCCCAGAAGCCTGAACGAGTTTTTCTGGACAGACACATCAACACTCAGCAGGGTGATTCAAAACGGCCCTTGGAATGTCCAACCCTCTTGATTATGAAAAGGCCTCATTCAAATTGCCCCCCTTAGTACTGCAAGGTACAGCCTTGACCTCTGTTAGCCCTTCTCTTTGGACAGGCAATTTTTATTGCTCCGCCGAGAGGCGTGCATGCATGAAATTAGGGAAAGTACTGGAGGCATGTTTGTCACCAGGCAGGGGAAAGCCTTCATTGCTGAACGGTTTTTTTGACCAGTGGAGTGTTATCAGAGTTTTTCTGTCCTCTTGTAAAAAAAACCATGGGAATTGATTTAGAAATGTACCAAAAAGCAAATTATGATTTTCGTAACGCTATCTGAAAACTTTTTCCTTAAATATGCAAGTTTTACAATGTTACAGAAATCCAAAAACTATACCGGTCCAACACATCTCACTAATGAGACAATTTTATGCTTTCTATTAAGGCACTTGAGCTTAGCCAACAGAGGTCATGACATTATTTGTAACAGTAAATTACTCACTGTATATTGTGATGGAGTGGAACTAATACTGATGTCAAACTCCAAGGGTCTGGGAACATCTCGCTGACTGCTTTCTGCACACAGTAAAGAATAATTTTTAAATGACTCCAGTTTCTATGATTCAGGGGTTTCCATGATCTTTCCAGACTCTTCAAGAGCCATTTCTGTGCAGGGAACCAATGGCTCATTCCTTGTACTTCAAAACTCTAGGGGCACGGATCTATCTTCCAAAATCCTGTAAATTCCCCCATAACCTCTTGGTAGATATTTTAAGAATCTGGGAAAGTTAGGTGTAAAAAGCAATTACTCAACTAGATCTTTGGGATTTAAAACAAGAACTCTGTATTATCAAGAAAGGAAGATTACCAATACAAAGACCTGGGATCTGATAATATAGCTGGTTGAAGCCTTTTACTCTGGGCATTTCAGAATTCCCAAAGATGATTAACAATACATATGAAACCAAAAGTGAAACAAGGTACCCACCATTTTTCAGACCTGCCAACCGCGTACTAATTCCTGAGGTCAGGCATCACCACATAATAGATTAGAATTTTAAATGAATTGAGGACTCATTTAAATCCCTTTTAATCTACTGTGTGGTAATGCCTGACCTCAGGAAGGAGTACGACAGGTTTGTAGGTCTGATTTTCAGTCAAGAATATGCAATGGTGTCTGAGTTCTAGCCTCAGCCCTAACTTCACGAGTTTGTTGTTTGCTTTGAATTTTTTGGGGGTGTCTTTTGCTCAGATACCTGGGGATGAGTCTCTTGTGGACCGCTGATCACTTGGACCTGAAATGCAGACATATAGCAAGTAGCATCATTATTTTCACAACCAAAAGCTTAGGGTGGCATGTAAACATGTACTAACCGGGTCACTTGCGTTCTTGCCAAGCCCATGGGAATGGGGGGGGGGGGGCGCAGTGGGTGCTGAAGCACCCCTAACCTTTTTGGACCGGGGTGCTGGTGAACAAAATCGCAACCCCAACTTTGACCATGTTAAGCCACGGACATAATCAAACTCACCAATGTCAGAGATCCACCCAAAAAGCCTAGATATTTATGATGTTACAACCTCAGCACCCCCTTAAAGAAAAATGTGTTGCCGCAGGCATGTTTCTTGCTGCATGAACTTTGGGGGAAAAGCCTACTTCCTTAATGTAAAAGCAGTGTACGGTCAGGCACTAAGCGACCATGCCGAGGATTTAACCTCATGCTCATGCAGGGAATAGTCAATGAGGTGAGGAAATAAAGTAGGCTGAGGATGAGGTGCACGGATGGTTTGAAACAAGGCTGAGGGATGAATCTGCGAATATCAAACAGAATCAGTGGCAAACCATGGATAGGCTG